TCCCTACTCTTTACCTGTGGTTTTAGTCACATTTATTGAATGTATTAATAAGAAATTGCCAATACATATAAACTAAATATACTTGATCGTTTTTACTCCTTACATCAATGTTAGAATCCAGTAAAAAATAAAAACAGTAATTAATTTAAGAAGTATTCTTTAAAGGAGGTTCCCTTTTGATATGATTTTTTCACATTTAAAGAAAATTTTCATGAGAGTTTCCGGGTAGCTGAGGTGAAATATCCATGACAGCTCTTAAAAACACCTGCATGATTAAGAAGGCAGAAGAAACTACACAAGACTCACACTCTTTTAACACATGAGACAGACCGTGCATCATCTTCACACAACATGGAAGTGAAATAAATGAGGAAGTAAATGCAAATGCAAAAGTAAATGCAGGGACCCTGGTGGCCTCGCTCGCACGCTCACACCACAAGTCATGAGCTTTAGTGGAAAGAGAAGTCAGTTCCAGAAACATCTGTGAAGAGAGAAGGAGAAAGTTAGCAGCGGCCTGAACCACCCTCAGAAGAGAAAGTCCCCTGAGTGTGAAGACACAGGACAGCGTGCGGGGAGACCTGACCCTGACCACAGGATGGGCATTCAGGGCGAGCAGGAGGGAGATAGGAGGTCTCAGATGCACTGTTGTGAGCAGATGGGCGAGAAAGTTGGGAGAGCAGCTCTGGAAACACCTCAGTGATGGGAAAAGAGGGGGAAGGAGACAGTAAGCACCTGCCAGCCACGAGGGATAAGAAAGAAGAGAAAAGAGAAACAGCCCACCTCCCTACCACAAGGAAAGCAAAAATGTATGATACAAAAACTAGAAAAATTGTCTAATAATCACATAATAATTTTCATAACAGAATGGAAGAGTCACTGGCTAAAGTTTTGGACAAAAATGGAATCTTCAAAAGTATACACAGTTTAAAAATGACAAGGGGATAACAGATATTGGAAAATTAAAATTAAAAAAATGAAATCTGTAATTACTTGGTAGAGTGCTAAAGAAAAATAAATTATGCTTATTTAGATAGCCTCTTATTAAAATGGGAATCATCCATGGGGCGCCTGGGTGGCGCAGTCGGTTGAGCGTCCGACTTCAGCCAGGTCACGATCTCGCGGTCCGTGAGTTCGAGCCCCGCGTCAGGCTCTGGGCTGATGGCTCAGAGCCTGGAGCCTGTTTCCGATTCTGTGTCTCCCTCTCTCTCTGCCCTTCCCCCGTTCATGCTCTGTCTCTCTCTGTCCCAAAAATAAATAAACGTTGAAAAAAAAAATTTAAAAAAAAAAAATAAATAAAAATAAAATGGGAATCATCCAGATCAGTTAGCACGGCATCCATACAAGGGTGGTTTGCAAATAAGTGAAGAGGGGTCCATGCCATGGAGGATATGCACCAGGTTCTGCTTCTGAGCACACAAGTGAGACACCTGCACAAACCTCTCGCTCCCCTCCTGGGAAAGCAAAGTGGAACCCTTCATGCAAGTCATTCCATCCCCTGGGGTGCCGGAACTGAATTTGGGGAAAGCTGGATGTGAGTTGGGGCTGGGAGGCCTCTCCTGGGCTGCAGTGAGCACAGAGCAGAGGGCACAATGTAGGACCCCAGGCCTGGGTTTCCAGCTTAGACCCCTACAGACTATCAGGGAGAATGTGACCTGAGCCCAGTGAGCACAAGGGCAGAGGGCACATACGCCCCTCCACAGCATCTATGTGGGAGGCCTGAGGGGACAGCCAATCTCTCTCTCAACTCAGGACATTTCCCACTCTTGCAGTTCATTCCCTATAACCCTGTGCCCTGACCTTGTGTGTGTGTATGTATGATTTAAGTATATATATATACTTAAGTATATGTGTGTGTGTGTGATCATACATATGAAACACAAATTACTTACATAAAATATTAGATATGGATATACATATATACACACTTCTAGCCAACCACTCTCACTTAACATAGAACTGTATGTCCTATTCCTACAAATGCTTACTGTTTCTCTCTGAACTTCACATAAAACATCTGATCACTGTCTTTCATAGTGAGTTAGATGAAAACCCAACAGATATCCATGACCTCACAATTCTGTTTGTTCCTCATAGCACAGTATGTGGAGCTTGTTGATACTTAGCTGGTGCTCAGTCAATATTTTTAAATTAAAAAATAAATCAGTGAATAAAAAAAGAAAAAAATACACACACATCACTTTCTTTAACTTACGGCTAAAACATACATCTCCATTTTATTTTGGACCGTCATCATCCATCCAGATTCTTACCCACAGGCACGGGTGTTATCTTAGACACATCCTTATACCTCACACATAACCTCCAGGTAATTCCTAAATCCGGTGCTTTTCACAACAAAAGTAACTTTAAAATGTCCATGCTACCCAAATCAATCTATAGATTAAATACAATTTCTGTGGAAAGTCCAATGACATTTTTTCACAGAAATAGAAAAAAAGTCCTGAAGTTTGTATCGAGTCAGAAAAGCCTCCAGGGGCCAAAGCAATCTTGGGAAAGAACTGTTGCAGGGTGTATGGCCAGAGTCACAAAAGGTGAGTCCGCAAACAAAGTGCCATTAAGTGAAGGTCCTCATACTCAAGTCGGAATGAGGCCCCAACTCTAGAATGAAGCTTCTTTTTATTAGGATAACTGCTAAAGACTATGTACATAAAGTCAGCTAAGCAAGTGTGTTACTCAATCTAATGGTTTAGCTTTTCAAGGTTGAATTTCCAGGTAACTGGTTTCTGTATCACTAGGAAGGGTCAGATGTGAAGGAGGATCCACCTTGGACACGTTCAGCTATGTAAACATGTCCTAAAGCCTTGCACCTTCTCCAGCCCTTCCCTTTTGAAGTCTTTTCCTTTGAGGCTTCTCTCCTGTATCTCCCACAAAGGACAAAGCTGGAGTCATCATACTTTCTGCTTTCAAATTTTGTAGTCATGAAAACAGTGTGGTACTGGTGTGGAATGAGACACATAGATAGATGCCACAGGAAAAAAAGAGACCAGAAATAAATGCAAGTTCCCCTTGACCACCAGGGAGGATGTAGGCTGAAAACAAGGACTTTGCACGGTCTCTGGAAGAGAGCTAACGTGGATTTTGAAGGGGATTCAGCCAGGAATGTACGTGAATCATACCGCAGATGCCCCAGATGAGATCCTCAGGTTCTCACTGGTGTTTCCTGACACATTTTGGAAGAGACAGCTGGAAATGCCGGACCCCGTGCAACGGGACACATTGATACTCATGCCATGGTGGGCAGCGTGCATCCACATGGTCAATCTGGGGTAAGAAACGCAGCCCAAAGGATGCTTTCACCTGGGTCAGGGCACACCTGCCAAGAGCCGTTGCGGGAACTGCCCTCTTTTCTCTGCTGCTTCCTGCATTGGCACGGGGTCCTGGGCCCTGGTTCCGCTGCCATTCCAGGTTACCCATTCCCCTGCTGGTGCACTGTTACTTTTGGGAATGATGAAAAGGTCCTAGAAATGGATAGTTGTGACGGTTACATAACACTGCAAATACACTTAGCGCCTGTGAGAATGATTAAAATAGTAAATTTACCGTTATGTTTATTTTTGGAATTATTACTAAAAGTTGAAAATCAAAATTATATTTAAGAAGCTATAGTCAAACAAATACCCTTGCCACCCTTATATGTGCTCCCCTGTTGTAACTCACCCCATCACTAACAAGTTACAGCAATTAAAAAATTTGTTTTCTTCCTGCAGATTCCACACGTAAATGAGATTGCACAGTATTTATCTTTCTCCGCCGGGCTTATTTCACGTAGGGCAATGTCCTGCAGATTCGTCCAAGCTGTCACTAATGACAGGGCTTCCTCCTGGAAAGACCCATGGGGTTGACTTCCTTTGTGCACACATGGGGGAGATCCTGCTCCTGGTACCCCACCGCCTTCCTACTACTGGGATCACTGATGAGGAGAGGGGAATAGGACACAGTCAGTGCCTTGGGGGCTCGGGACGCCAGCCACAGGGGTGCCCATTGGGCCCTGGTGGTGGCAGCTGTGGGAAACTCACATCTGAGGGATCTACTTCACCCACCTTCCCGAGAGCAGGCTCAGCATTTTGGAGCAATGGTGGCACTTCCTCTTCACCCTCACAAGCCCCACTGGGAGGTTTGCTAACCTGACACCCAAAGCTCCTCCCAGGGCTAATCGCCATCTCCCGGACATCACACCTGAAAGGCAGGTACCCAGCCAGTGCGCCAGGCCAGCGGAGACACACAGCGACTCAGTCAGCCCTGAGCACAGGAGCCTGGAGGGAAGGGAGGGCCTCGGCTCTGATCCCTGGAGATACAGAGTACATATTGTGGAGGCCTGTCCACCAGCCAGGATGGTGCCTGCACTCTGAAAACTAACTAATTTGATGTGCCTTTGTGAAGAGAACAAAAGCCAGCTCAAAAGGCTCTGATATTTACACGTGGCTGACCAGACAAAGTGTCTGTGTTATCATCGTTATTTTGTTGCCTTTTCTGTTTTTAATTTCCCTGAGAGTTCTGATAGGTTGCATAAGAAACTGGGAAGAAGTCATTCAGATCCAGAAGCCACTGACAGGTACAGTCAGTGTGTATGCAAGTTATTTCAAACTTCAGGAGAGTCAGAATGCAAGGGCCTGACAATTAATGAAATGGGTATAGGACACCCACCAGGTGTCATTATGGCTGGTGGTCACAGCGGAGGGTCCAGCTCCTCCCAGGCAAAGGCTGCCATAAGTGCTCGTGCAATACAGGGTCCTTAGGAAGGTTTAGCCTGCACCCCAAGATATCTCAGGAGAACATGGTGTGTGCCTGAGACCCCTGTGGCTGGATCGTGTGGAGAAAGGGAGGGAGAGGAGAGGTCACCCGGGGTGCTCTGGGCCCCATGGAGGGAAGAACTCTTTTAACAAATGTGAATTTATCCATTCTTCTTAAGCTGGTAGATACAGGGGCTGAGACCCAAAGCCACTATTCCTCAGCTCCTTCCCTCGCCTTCCTGTCCCCAGGCCTAGAGGTCTATCAGTGACAGCCAAGGCCAGTCCAAGGGTCCTGGGTCACAGAAGCATGGACTGCATGGTGGTCTTGGAAAAGGAGGGGATGAGGTCACTGGAGAGGGAGCTGCAGGTCAGGAATATGACCTCAGGGAACAGGATCTGGAAGGATAGACAAAATCTGAGCGAACCATTGATTAGGGAAGTCTTCCTCCTTCCTGCCTTCCTTTCTTCTCCTGTGAGAACTGGGCATGGATATCCTCTTGCGTATTTCCTTATTTTTAATGAGAATTTCATTCTCCACAGGGATCACTGCTGGGATCCCTGCGACTCCCTCCATTTGTCTCAAACTTTTAATCCCAGCTGTGCCTCTGGTCAATGCCACTCATTAGAGATTTAGCTCCACAGAAAATCCTAGGACAGAACTTGGGACAAGGAGACCTGGAAGATGTCACTGGGGGTCAGCTGGAGAAAGATGACAACAGAGGAAACAGGGAAGGGGGAATGACACATGTCCCCCGGTGGGACACAGGGAGGTGACCGAGTGGACCCTCAGCTAAGGGAGATGGAGGGATGTTCCAGAGGGTCTTGTGGAAGGAGGGTGATGCCCAGAGAAACAGAGATGCCCTGACTGACACAGGTGAGGTCAGGTGGGAGAGCAGATGGAGGGCAGGTGAGGGGTCTGCTGTCCCCGCGTCACATGGCAACCATGATTTAGACAGGTGTGGAAACATCACAGACAACCAGGGCTGAAGGATGCCTTTCCTCCCCCACAGGAAGGATGGGGGTGTTACTGTAACTCCTTGACTGAGGGTTAGTCTACACCATTCATTCGTTCATTCATTCATTCAATTCATTCATTCATTCTTTCATTCAACCCACATTAAAGTAATTTCTGCAAGTGTAAGATCAGTGCTCATCACAGTGTGAAATAAAATATGATTTTCTATTCATTTCAGAGTTGTGGTACACTGTCTGTTTCATATGATGTGCATGGTTGCTGTTTGCCTTTCTCCTTCTCTGTATTTGACAGCCCAACTTATATTACCCAAAGGTTCCTACCCAATCGATTTGTGTCTATTTATCAAAGGAATCCTTGATACACTGGGAAAAAAAGGATACAATTGTATACGCACCAAATGTAAAATATAAGGAGTATCTAAAACTTAAGACAAAAGGAAGAATCAAAAAGAGTAATTGACACATCTGAAAAATACAATGTCAGCTTCCATAAGTCACCATGAAATATAGAAATAATTGACGAATATCATATTGCTTAGAAATAGCAACTGAAATCGGGGCAGTTTGAAAACTAATGAATTTATTCTTTATTTATCATAATAAACTGGGGAGTCACACTAATCGGCCGGAATCCCTGACCTTGAAGGGAGCCCTGAGTCAACCCAAGAAACTCTCAGATATTCTTAAGGCACCCCAAGTCAGAAAATCCTTCCCTGCTGGGAAGGCCTGTGTTTCAGGAAGGATTGGAAAACTGGATGTGGGAGAAGAACCCAGGGCCCTGGAGTCCCTCACGAAGTTGGAAGGGACAGAAAGATCCAGCTAACCCCTAGTGGCTTTTAACATGAGTCAGGATTACAAATAAATGCTACAACACATCAGTAATTAAGGGTTTTTAAGGGAACAAAGGGAATACAAAGGTTAACAATCTCCACCAGGCCAGGAAAGTGCTTCACCACATCAGAGAACACAGCAGAGGGCAAACTCCCAGCGCTGTGTCAGAGGAAGCACGGCCCTGCATTCCTTTCCCCAGGTCAGGAGCCCAAACCTCCTCCAGTTTATACTGGCTCTGGGAGCAGGCCCCTGGCCCCTTCCCCTCGCGGGACGCTTACTTCTGCTTCCTTATAACGTCAGTCTCCACACGAGGAGGAGCGCAAGCTGCACGGACATAACCTAGGATGCAGGCACGGTCCTGTTTTCGAAGTGTGCCCGTGCGACCCGATAGCCACCTTTCGCAGGCTGACAAAGTCCCCTTTCTGAATATCGATCCGGATGACTGAATAAAAGGAACCCGCTCACTCCTGCTCTGAGACTCAAGGCTTTGCAAGTTATTCCTCGTGATCTCATTATTTTGCTGCAAATCCAGTTTCCTCTGTGAGACCACACACCTGGCAGAGTCTCTAAATTTCACTCTGGGTGGAAAGAACTCACCTTAGTTCCGAGACAGCAACTTCATTTTCCTCTCCCTCTCTCTCTAAGTTCTATTACTTAAATATATAAATTATAATATACGATATATAAATTGCAACATGGAACATACATATAATGTGTATATGTAATCTATAGTGTTTTATATCGTACAAGATACCTATATTTAATAGTTATATAATACAGTTACACATGTAATAATTCAATATAACATATTACACATATTTAAAATATGTGTTTATATATTGCTTATATATTATACATAATTTTGTAATATGTAATATTTATTTATAATAAATATCATATATATATATATA